TCTGATAACTAGATATATATGTCAGAGTAAAGTTTTGTTAGTTTTAATGATTGAATTCGGTACTTTGCCTGTTTGAACGACCGCATGGGACAACACAGATTAGTGTACAGGTTTTTTTAAATATCTCGTTAGGCCTACTTTCATCTTTTTAACATGAAATTGGTAGCCAGGTAAAAGTGTTTGATAAAGTTCACATGGATCATATTTATAACCTGCACATGCATTCATTTTTGACATATAACGATCGAAATATACGTTTCCAAGACTGGTAAAGCGCGAGTAGCGCAAGAGTCCCAATCACTGGTTGCCTTATGGGTTGATGTAAACGTTAATAAGCCATCTTGAAGTATGCAGATTTTTTTTTAAACAAGAATTCTTTTTTGAAAAATGGGCCATGTGATGATACTTTCGATTTTTCCCTTCGACTGTCTTGAAATAGTGCCTCTAACACCCCCCCCCCCCCCCATATCTACACTGCCATACCCGATTATGTGGTGAGATCAGATGTCGTCTGACAATCGAGTTTGCGACATAAATCTTACAATACTAAACATCTTGCATTGTTATTTAATTTGATTTTTTTTTATCAATGAATATTTATTAAATTAATTTACTTAATGTTAAAATTGAACACGTATTGGATTTCAAAAAATAAAAATTAATAAATAAATAATAATAATAAAAATAACCCCTTTATAGGAAATTGCGGATCCTCTCCTGAGTGCTGTTCGTTATTGGTTTCTTAATAACGATCTCGCTGCAGGCTGGAAATACACGGATTTATGATGTTACATTTAAGCTGCAATTCTTCGCCGCCTAGATTTTTATTACAAATAGAATCTTCAAGAAAAAACAGTAATTATAGCGCATTTTACCTATTAAGTTGTTCCTAGTATCGCCCAAGGACAGCGTAAATTGTAGAATCTCACATTTCCAGGAAGACAGAGGCGTCAATTTTTCGCTTAAATACTATATATGTATTTTCTTTTTTTTTTTTTTTTGTTTTCAATAATTGACGAATTGAGTGGTGCTTGAAGAAAAGGCGATGGCGCGTGAGTCATCTTCTGTTAAAAACATACTTTTAGTGAAATAAATAAATAAGAAGTCGTGCAATATGTAAACATTAACCACTGTTGAAGAACGAAGTGAAGTTTAAAGATATTTCTCAATAATCACAAAGCCGAGCTGCATGCAAAGTCTGACGTAAAAGATCGACTATGTTCATGGTTACTAAGCAGACCAATTTTAGTGATTTCCTTATTTTTCCACAATATTTTGTCACTTTTTGCGTCCCAAGAGGGTGGCGCTCTTTTGAAAAAAAAAATACGGTATCACAGTTGTATCGGTGCGGGGGAGTATCGGTGCCAAGAGGGAAAGGGTCCATTCAAAATAAATGCCTAAACACACCAACATCTCATCATTACATCCCCAAATTGAATCTTTTTAGTACTTCAAAAGGCCCCTCAAGGGCTTGAGAGTGTGTGGATTTTTTTTCAGTTTACCAAAATGTAAAAAAAAAAAAAAACACGTTACGGCACCCCTGGATGACAAAAAATGACCAAATACACCTACCAGACATTATTGAAGACCCAAATTTCATCTTAATAGTATTTCAAAAAGCTCCCCAGGGGCTTAGGAGGGGGAGGGGGAGTTCCAAGTCTCATAATGAAAATGCCAATATGTGAAAAATGAATAATTTGAAAAAGAAAACTAATAACTTGAAGGTAAATATTCAGACCAAGCTAGTTTTTGTATTCCACATAAGTCATATTCATCAGGCCTGTAAGTCTGAAAACAAGAGGTCAAATGATTTTCTATGAAATGTGTTCTGTATTGCAGAAAGTATAATATATCATGATGAAAAAAACAAAAAAACAAACAAAAAAAATGGCATAACTTCAAGAAAAATGGTTTATGTTGATATTCACACTTAACCTGTACTTTATGAATATTAAACAAACCTGTAAGTTTGAACCAATATACTGAGTGTTTTTCCTTTAAATGTGTTATCTTAATTGCATTTATGCTGAAAAAAAAGTGAAGAAACAGTATTACCTTTGAAAAAAAATCTGATCATGCTGATTTTAGATCTTGTCCTGTATCTTAAAGTTTGGCAACGACAGCGACAACAGACGCAGGTTGGTCATATGTACAGACAAGATGTGTCTGTACATAAAAAATCAAAACAGAAAAGAGACAGAGGAAGGGGTAGGGGAATTCAAAAGAAACTGACACAGGTCTTGCAAGTTGAGCTTTAGGATGTTTGCATAATACTAGGTTTTTTATTTGGAGTAAGCATTAAGGACACTAATCACACATCCTCTCATCCAAGGAGTCATGTTTTACAAATTTTAAAGTTAATGACTTTTGTTCAAAAACTTGATTTGAAAGATCTTTTAAGAGCAAGTATTATTTCATTTAAAAATTCTTAATTCTGAGCGATATATACCCGAGTACATAGGCCACTAATGAAAGTTGTTCAAGGCATTAATCATGAGGCTGAGGGTGGCAGTGCATTACTTGCCATACATACATACAGAGAGAAAGCACTCGCATTTCACAAAAAAAAAAAAAAAAAAAACCCAAAAACCAAATAATGCATATATCACCACAGTCACATTACATCTCTACTTCTGTATTTTCAGAAACTCCGAGGCCATAGGTTTGTTAGAGAAATGTTTCACACCTTTATTTCAAATAATTTCCAAAAATCCACTATAAATGCAGGTCAGAAAATATACCCGAAGTATTTATATAAAGATCATGATCTGCAGCTCCATATTAATAAGGATTAAATTTATGTGATGACTATTAAGTGTATAATTTGAATATGATATCCAAGATAACGGTATAATTCATAAAGATTTGGTAAAAGTTTTTGATATACATGTCACCATATGATAAACTAAAGCCACTGACTTTATACTGTAATAAAGTTTAACTGAAGATATAAAAGACTGCAATTAAAAAGAAACAAGGTTTTTCTTTTGCTTTATAAGGCTTCAATTCTTCTTCTAATTGAAAAATAAGTGCTTGCTTGTTAAGTTCCTAAAGACAAAATTATTTCTGATTTTTCAGTTACAAACTTTATGCAAGTTAGTAGTGCAACAGTTGAACAGAAATGCCAGTGAAGCCATTCTGTTAAATCTTGCCCGACAATGGGATAAATCAGAGTTTTCAGTAGTAGACTAATTGTGATATTCATGGCAAAATTATAGAAAATTTAATTCCTTTTTGTCTTCTAAACTGAACCCCTAACAAAGCTTCAAAATAACTCCAGTGCAATAACAAAGTGCTATTCAGCATCAACCTTCAAGTCACTCAAATGCTGTGACATACTATCAATCTCGCGTTTTTCTAGCATGTAATTTAAATTCTCCGCTTGAGCCGATGGAAATTTTTTAATGTCCAAGTCATCCATGGAACGTGACCTATGAAAGGTCAACCCTGTTGGAAGGTGACTGATCGCCTGCTTCAGTTTCTCTGGGGTGTTTGAATTAGAGGCACATCTCTTCATCCCTGGCTTCCCGTCTTTATCAACATCCCCATCACTGCCACAAGACGGTCCTTCTCTCGTTGGCGTCTGGCAGTTTCCGTTAGAGTTTGTACCAGTTGTACTGCTACATGAACTAGACGGACTACATGTTAAGCCACTCCCTCCGCTAAACCCACTAGAAAAACCTCCTAACTCCAGTGACGACCTCCATGGCACTTCGTAAGGTTTCCTCCAGCGCCGCAAACGTGCCATTTTAAGTCTCATGAGTCGAGTGTTATGATGCTCATCCCTAGGGCTGCGCTGACGGTGATAATTGGACCCCAGACTTAAGTTATTCATATTATCGGCTATTTCAGCAGTTTGCATGTTAAGGTAGCCACGAGTGGATATCACGTTAACACTAGCTGTCTCTGGAAGAGGAGTAGGGGTATTGGTAAAAGATGTGACATAGCTGGGATTCATAGAAATGATCTGGAAAGGAGTCTTTCCAGGACTGTAGTTATTTTCAATATCTGTGTCCCCCGTGCCACACAAACTGCCTCCGCCCACTGTGAAACTGGTGCCTTGCTCGCTCCGAGTGCGTGAACGCTCGCGAAGAAACTGCCTACGCCCGTCTGTGACTGAACTGAGCATGCCTAACTCATGTAATGCAGCGTCAACGTCCATGTTTCTATTGGGATCCCTTGTTGATGAGGATGAAGATGATGAAGACAGTGCTCTTAATGATGGTGAAGTTTGGCAACAATAACAACTTTTCTGGGATGCAATGTTGGCTGTGATGGCGGTCATTTTGATGCCAAATGTGTCACCTTACTGTTGATGTCATTGTCACTGCCATTGTTTATTTCATTCCCTGTTACCTGCAATATAAAGATTAATACTGTCAATAGAATTCTTATTATGCAAATGTTTAGATGTTAGCTGGAAACTTAAGAATATGTCAGGAACTCCCATCATGAATTGATATCCATTTAGTTTCACAACTCCAATGAAGAGTAATCACAATTCAAGTTACTGGTTATATGAAAATAAAACAGCAAAAACCCAAGCTAAACACTTGGTGCTAGGTAGTATGCCTTCTCAGTGAGATCAGCCATTATCAAGGGGGTTGAACTCCCTAAGATAAAAATACAGTACATTGAACAGGAATAGCGAGACTGCCATTTAGCAAAAAAGTTGAAAAATATGGTATGAGATCAAGACAGAAACCTTGTCTAATTATATTATTGGCTCCCAAGAAGTCAGAAATTGGCCAATAGTCAGAAAAAATATTATCCCTGATTGAATAGATTGATATCTCAGACATTTTATCTTTTTACACACGCTATGTATAACTTAATTAAAATAATATGTGCATGGAATAACAACAAATTGGCTTTCGTCATCCCAAATGTTCCCATTTATAATATAGCACACTATAAACTTACTTGTTAAGTTATGCCCCAGTGTTAGTATGTATCTAGTCTGTGACAAATACTTTTTAACTTACAGGCCACCTAGGCCATCAGGGTCTGAGAATCTACTGGCCTGGACCAAAATTCATTGGCCCAGGTCTAATTAAATTAAATTTAATTTAAAAAAAAAAAAACAAAAAAAACTGAAATTAACACCTTGAGATTAAACGGGCTTTCTTCTAGAAATGAAAAATAAAACATGGGATGTTCAACTGGTTATTAAAGAAAAACGACTTCAACATCTACTATGAGCATTTATAAAAGGAGTTGGTGCATGTCACAGCTGAAAAAATCCACTGGCCCTGGCAGGCCAGTAACTGACCGTTTTTCAGAAATGACACTGGCATGGTCCAATTTTTACTGGCATTGGCAGTCGGGCCAGTGGTCAATATGGCAGACAGTGCATCAAAGGGAGGGCTGTGTATGTGTACCAGACTCCCAGTGTCGGTCATATAGTGCCAACAATTAATGCATTTAAACACAGACAGGGGGTAATCACGCATACCAATCAAATTTTGAAGAACAAGGAGGCGACTATATATACAAATAAGAAGAAGGGATGTCAGAGCTTATAATGTCCCGAATCTTCATAGGTTGCAAACAGGAGGTACATGTAATTAGGTTTTCCATTTGATGAGCAATGTAGCATTTTGGCTGAAAAGACTCAAACTCAATTCTCAAGACACATGTACCTAACATGATATGAAAATAGTCAAACAAGGGTTTATTAAGGTTTCTTACACTTAAAAACGGCGCGTGTCAGAATTTATAAAAATCTCTGGTGCCTGCCTCATCAACATGTACGAGTGCATCTAAATATTTTTCAACTACCTCATCTAAATACCGGGTATATGAAAGGGGATTTAGATTTTACTGATCATTCACACATGTAAATCATTTACTACAAAACTGTCCTTATAAAACCCATGGACAACAGCCTCCCGCTCATTATTAATAGGAAAGGCGGGCGAACAAAAATGTAAACATTGAGAACCACAAATATTATGGAAACGGGTAAGCGAATGCCGATGAAAAATAAATACATGACACATCTTACATCTCATCAATAATCCGATTAAATTTAGAGTTTTTCAGTAATAAACGCAGTTGATGTCATTCTGCTAGGTTACAACCACAGAGGTGTATATAGTCCATAAATTGCGACTTTACCTGTAAACATGACCCTCATTTTACTCAGCTGATTGACAAATCACAACATGTCCGAGGAGGCAACGAGATTTCCCAGAGTTCTTGGCGAGAGTTGCCGAAGACACTGCCCCCTAACGGCAAAGAGGAGAAAGTACCATTCAAGTACTTTGCCAAAGTTATTATATGTTTAAATTTCAAAATTTCAGGACTGAATCTTCACATAAATATTTTAATAGTGGTATATATTAGCTTTGGTTCTCTTTCTTAAGTTATCCGTGCACATTCGCCGAGCACCAGCACTAGCTTCCGGTATGACGTCATAGGTTTTTCCAACTTTCGTTTTGTCAACCAGACGATAGGGCTGTTACGATTTGTTACGTCTACGCTTCATTTAATGCCGCTGTCTAGCTGTCCTACCAACCACCAAGGACCAATTTTTATTTAAAAAGATTCACCAGGTAAGAGAGATTTTGACTGTTTAGCAAAACGAAACTAAATTGCAGGTTAAACAATAGAGCACATCGATCGTTTTAGACGGGAAATAAAAAATTAAACGGAAGCTCACGCCCATTATGAAAAAAGTCCCACGTACAGACAATGTTCTTTAAAAAAAAAAACAAAAAAATCTGATAGAATTTTGATGCTTTGAAAAGGTATATACGTTGTACTGTATTAATGTCAATTTGAAACACTTCATTTACAAGGGTATTTATGTTTGTGTCAAAAAACACCACTGTGACTCTGTGATCGATTCCCAATTTAATATTTAATGTTACAGGTGCTGAACTAAACAATATATAGAGCACTATGGGAATATCACTAGATGCATGGAGGCTTAGAATAGGATGTTTTGCACAACGCAAAATTCGGGCAGCACCATCTGGAAATCTGCCAAAGCTTCAGAAAGCAATAAGTGATGAGTTAGGGGGATGTATTCTGCTGGTGATAATGATGATGATGTCCCTGCTGCTCTTTTTGTCTGGAGATGTTGAGATGAACCCAGGACCTCCTATGTATCAGCCTGAACACAGTGTCAAAAAACAACCTAGGAAAACAGTAAGTCAGAGTGAAAATCATATGAAGATTTTTTATGACATTTTTAGCATTGATATCTTTTTTATTTGGGTAAATATATCTGTTTTTTTTACATATTTACTAATACTATGTAATTATTTATACAGTCATTACAATTATTAGTATTCATAAGTTCTGTTAAGCATATAATATTTGGTTTTAATGCTCATTGAAATGTAAAAGAAAAACAGAAAAAAATTATAAATTTGTTTGAGTTTCATCTTGCAGTTCTTTTTTCAGGAGGCTAGTAGAGCACAGCAACAACAGGGCACAGGTTTGAGGGAATCCATTCTGAAAGGAGAGAAATATATGGAAAAAGGATGTTGGCGGGAGGCGACTGATGTTTTTAACAAATTAATTTATTGCGTGCCCCCTTTAGGAGACCCAAGCTTGACTTGTAGACTTTTTTGTAACAGAGCAAGGTGTCATCTTTCCCAGGTAACTATATTCTTCCCAATGTATTCTTTTTACCTTCTAAAATTTATCCAGACTTAGTAATTTATGCAATCTGTGAGTTTTATTTAGACTTTGATAATGTTCATGTGAAGGTAAAAAGTTTGCAAACAAGTTTCAAAATTTGAACCCACAGAAGGGAAGGGGTTAAATCCAACCAATACCTTGAAAATTAAATGAGTTATGAACTCTTATTGTGATTCATTTTTTTTAGCTAATTGGAGCATTTATTAATTTTTTTGAGCTAATTTTGTCTTAAATATATATATTTTTTACTTTCATTATTCATTCAGATTAGCTTAGATCCATCGTGCCTATTTATATATCAGTTAATAGGGTCACAGGACAGTCTTTATCTGGTGATAACTATGTCGAGACAAATGTTATTTTGTTAAAACAGCTCAGTGTCAAAGAGTAAACTAGATATATTATTTATCTTATCTACACATGCAGTCTGATACATTTAAGAATGCTTCTTTTAATCTGTTATTATTATTATTATTATTATTATTTCAGGGGTTTGTTCTGCTTGCAGTGAAAGATGTCCACTCTGGTGAGTGTTTGGTGAATGTTTCAACATTCTATTTTATCTAAAATGGATATTATGTGACATATTAGTTTCTCATCTTTTTCACATGTCACACATACTTTGTCTCATGTTGGTTGATGTGTCTTTTCTTAGGCATATCCACATGAGGTACCAAAACTTGTACCACAAGGAACAAGTGTCCAATAAACAATAATTGTCTGATTGTGTGATTTTGGGGTAATTAAAATGTAAATAGGGGGAGCTGGTGTGGCTTACGTTCTTGTACCAGGAGTATCACATCATTCAAAAACTGGTACTCCAGCTATCAATTTAATCAAAAATTAAAACCATAATCTAATTAAAACTCATATTGATATTAAGAAAGGTTATCTTAAATGACATAAAAAATGTCAATGCATTTCTCATCCTATACTGGGATATGTGCTGAAGTTTCCTTTCAGAGATTTGTGATCAAAATGTCTGTTGTCAACAATTGGAATTAAAAAAGACAAATATGGAAGGTTGAGGTCTTTGTGATTAACAAAGTTGTTTTTACTGTTCTCTGTATTCACAGGGTGTTGGGCCTGTTGCTTCTAAATCTGTGCAGTCTAAAGAACTGGTGTAATAGAATTTTCAGAAGCATATTTTAAAAGACCCTTTCAATGACAGAATAAAGTTAATCTCTTTTATCTCAATTAAAATAAGTTTTAAGGGGCACATATGCTTATTATGCACTTTATTCTTATTATATGTGATTTTAAATGATTTTGTTTACAGTGAGGTAATGTGATGTGACTTTCATTCAGAAAGGTAAAAATGAACAGGATGACAATTCTTCATTTTGGCGGGGAAAGTGTTATAAAATAGATTCTCCTGGGAAAAATGTAAATGTTCACATACTTTCAAATGGTTAATGAATCCATTCTGACATTCAAAGTTAATTGATCTTAAGAGAATATTAAAGAGGGTATCCTTCTTTGATGGTTTTTGTGGTCTTATGGCAAGCACAGATTTCATAATAATTGCCATTTGCCATTTTGGTGGTAAAATGGAATTTATTACATTTCTGTGCATTTTTCAATTTATTTATTGTGGAAATTTGAAACTCATATGAAGAGTTGCTATACCTTTAAACATTTAGAACTTGAAAATTGGGTTATAGACTAAAATATTCTCCATGATTTGGGATAGCCTTGTATGCCTTGGTGATGAAGTGAAAATTGCTGAAATTTCCAAGTTACTAGTAAGTGTATAAGGGTCTAATTACACATGTATGTATTTAAGGTCTCTGGATTCAGCAACTTTCATGATATTAAGAAACTTTTGCATCTGAAAGACTCACTTGGGATACTGGGATAGATGGTGATGGGAAATTAAAGGGGCTGCTCAGAATAGAAGATCCCAGTACCAACTTGCCCAAGCTTCAAATATGGCGGATCTTACATAATAGGAAGACCACTTAATCCTGTAATGGTCTCTCCGCCTCACACTCGCCTCCCCATGTGTCTGGTTGAATAGAGCCAAGATTTAATTACTATGCCCCTGCAAGGACGACGTGTGGGGAGGCGTGTGAGAGGCGGAGAGACTATTACAGGATTAAGCAGCCTCCCTTTCCTGTAGGGTCCGCCATGTTTGAGCCTTGAACCAGTTGATGCTTAGATCTTCTATTCTGAATGGCTCTATATATGGTGCTTAAAGAAAAGGTTTTGGATTACTAGTATATTAGTTAAAACAGCAGACTTTACTAGAAGGTGCAGTTGGACAGGTCCATATATTGTAATATGTAATCTAGAACATCTTTTTAGTACTTGATACAACTACTCGTCCACTGTGTGTGACATGCCAGAGCGTTATTATATTGAGGTGCATTTGAGATATAATTCAGGGGCGGATTGAGGCCGTCTTCTGGGTCTTCCGGAAGACGGTCAGATTTTCAAGTTTACATTGTCGGGTATCCAATTTTTTCTGTCGGAAGACGGTCAAAAATGAAGGACAGATAAACAAAGATAATTAGGAAGACTGTCAGAAAAAATCTCTGGATCCGTCCCTGTAATTTGCTCTGGTATGTCACATACAGTGGATGATGAGTAGTTGTAACTAACTTATACCACAGCTGGCACTTCGGACTATAGCAAGAACGTAGCAAAGGGTATGAATACAAGTGCAGTAATCCTATTGTTTGGACCGCCAGCTGTGGGATAATTGAGTTTAAATCTATCTTGGTGCAGCCAACAATTTTTAACAGTGAATTTTCATTTATTTATACATGGCATGTTGGTCATACACTGTAGATTTTCTTTTATTTAATGGTATCTGAGGTAGCAAAAATGGTCTTAAAATTTGTCTGTAATTTTTCTCTCCTTCACAAAATTAGTNATCTTAGATGTAAGTAGGTTTTCCATTTGATGAGCAATGTAGCATTTTGGCTGAAAAGACTCAAACTCAATTCTAAAGACACATGTACCTAACATGATATGAAAATAGTCAAACAAGGGTTTATTAAGGTTTCTTACACTTAAGAATTTATAAAAATCTCTGGTGCCTGCCTCATCAACATGTACGAGTGCATCTAAATATTTTTCAACTACCTCATCTAAATACCGGGTATCTGAAAGGGGATTTAGATTTTACTGATCATTCCCACATGTAAATCATTTACTACAAAACTGTCCTTCTAAAACCTATGGACAACAGCATCCCGCTCATTATTAATAGGAAAGGCGGGCGAATAAAAATGTAAACATTGAGAACCACAAATATTATGGAAACGGGTGCGCGAATGCCGATGAAAAATAAATACATGACACATCTTACATCTCATCAATAATCCGATTAAATTTAGAGTTTTTCAGTAATAAACGCAGTTGATGTCATTCTGCTAGGTTACAACCACAGAGGTGTATATAGTCCATAAATTGCGACTTTACCTGTAAACATGACCCTCATTTTACTCAGCTGATTGACAAATCACAACATGTCCGAGGAGGCAACGAGATTTCCCAGAGTTCTTGGCGAGAGTTGCCGAAGACACTGCCCCCTAACGGCAAAGAGGAGAAAGTACCATTCAAGTACTTTGCCAAAGTTATTATATGTTTAAATTTCAAAATTTCAGGACTGAATCTTCACATAAATATTTTAATAGTGGTATATATTAGCTTTGGTTCTCTTTCTTAAGTTATCCGTGCACATTCGCCGAGCACCAGCACTAGCTTCCGGTATGACGTCATAGGTTTTTCCAACTTTCGTTTTGTCAACCAGACGATAGGGCTGTTACGATTTGTTACGTCTACGCTTCATTTAATGCCGCTGTCTAGCTGTCCTACCAACCACCAAGGACCAATTTTTATTTAAAAAGATTCATCAGGTAAGAGAGATTTTGACTGTTTAGCAAAACGAAACTAAATTGCAGGTTAAACAATATAGAGCACATCGATTGTTTTAGACGGGAAATAAAAAATTAAACGGAAGCTCACGCCCATTATGAAAAAAGTCCCACGTACAGACAATGTTCTTTAAAAAAAAAAAAAAAAAAAAAACAGAAAAAAATCTGATAGAATTTTGATGATTTGAAAAGGTATATACGTTGTACTGTATTAATGTCAATTTGAAACACTTCATTTACAAGGGTATTTGTGTTTGTGTCAAAAAACACCACTGTGACTCTGTGATCGATTCCCAATTTAATATTTAATGTTACAGGTGCTGAACTAAACAATATATAGAGCACTATGGGAATATCACTAGATGCATGGAGGCTTAGAATAGGATGCTTTGCACAACGCAAAATTCGGGCAGCTCCATCTGGAACTCTGCCAAATCTTCAGAAAGCAATAAGTGATGAGTTAGGGGGGTGTATTCTGCTGGTGATGATGATGATATCCCTGCTGCTCTTTTTGTCTGGAGATGTTGAGATGAACCCAGGACCTCCTATGTATCAGCCTGAACACAGTGACGGAAAACAACCTAGGAAAACAGTAAGTCAGAGTGACGATCATATGAAGGTTTTTATGACATTTTTAGCATTGATGTCTTTTATATTTGGGTATATATCTGATTGTTTTTTTACAAATTTACTAATACTATGTAATTATTTATACAGTCATTACTGTTATTAGTATTAATAAGTTCTGTTAAGCATATAATATTTGGTTTTAATGCTTGATGAAATGTAAAAGAGTTAAAATTATAAATTTGTTTGAGTTTCATCTTGCAGTTTTTTTTTCAGGAGGCTAGTAGAGCACAGCAACAACAGGGCACAGGTTTGAGGGAATCCATTCTGAAAGGAGAGAAATATATGGAAAAAGGATGTTGGCAGGAGGCAACTGATGTTTTTAACAAATTGATTTATTGCGTGCCCCCTTTAGGAGACCCAAGCTTGACTTGTAGACTTTTTTGTAACAGAGCAAGGTGTCATCTTTCCCAGGTAACTATATTCTTACCAATGCATTCTTTTTACCTTCTAAAATTTATCCAGACTTAGTAATTTATGCAAACTGTAAGTTTTATTTAGACTTTGATAATGTTCATGTGAAGGTAAAAAGTTTGCAAACAAGTTTCTAAATTTGAACCCACAGAAGGGAAGGGTTAAATACAACCAACACCTTAAAAATTAAATCAGTTATGTAATTTTTTGTGATTCATTTGTTTGTTTTTTTTTTAGCCAATTGGAGCATTTATTTTTTTGAGCTTATTTTGTCTTTAATATATATATTTTTTACTTTCATTATTCATTCATATCAGCTTAGATCCATCATGCCTACTTATATTTCAGTTAATAGGGTCAAAGTACAGTCTTTATCTGTTGATAACTATGTCGAGACAAATGTTACTTTGTTAAAACAGGGCAGTGTCAAAGTGTTAACTGGATATATTACTTATCTTATCTACAAAGGCAGTCTGATACATTTAAGAATGCTTCTTTAATCTGTTATTATTATTATTATTATTATTATTATTATTGTTATTATTATTATTTTTTCAGGGGTTTGTTCTGCTTGCAGTGAAAGATGTCCACTCTGGTGAGTGTTTGATGAATGTTTCAACCTTCTATTTTATCTTAAATGGAAATTATGTGACATGGATGTTAATTTCTCATATTTTTCACGTCACACATACTTTGTATCATGTTGATGTCTCTTTTCTAAGGCATATCCACATGAGGTACCAAAACTTGTACCACAAAGAACAAGTGTCCAATAAACAATAATTGTCTGATTGTGTGATTTGGGGGTAATTAAAATGTAAATAGGGGGAGCTGGTGTGGCTTACGTTCTTGTACCAGTAGTATCATATCATTCAAAAAGTGGTACTCCAGCTATCAATTTAATCAAAAATTAAAACCATAATCTTATTAAAACCCATATTGATATTAAGAAAGGTTATCTTAAATGACATGAAAACTATAAGTGCATTTCTCATCCTATACTGGGATATGTGCTGAAATTTTCTCTCAGAGATTTGTGATCAAAATGTCTGTTATCAACAATTGGAATTAAAAAAGACATACAGTATGGAGAGTTGAGGTCTTTGTGGCTAACAAAGTGGGCCCAGTTTTATAAAGGACGTTTAGCACTAACCAGTGTTTAACTCTAACCAGACCTAAACAGTCTGTTAGTTAACTGACCTTTAAATAATTATTTAATCCAGTTAAACAAGGCCAGTTAACTAATTGGCTGTTTTCCGTCAGAAGACTGTATATGAAACACAATTTAACCATCTTTTATTAATGGGTGTTAGGAGAATTTATTCACTGGTTAGGCTTATCCACTGGTTAGTGCTAAACGTCCTTTATAAAACTGGGCCAGGGTTTTTACTTCACAGAGTGTAGAGCCTGTTGCTTCTAAATCTGTGTAGTCTAAAGAACTGTTGTAATAGAATTTTCAGAAGCATATTTTAAAAGACCCTTTCAATGACAGAATAAAGAAGTTAATCTCTTTTATCTCAATTAAAACAAGTTTTAAGGGGCACATATGCTTATTATGCACTTTATTCTTATCATATGTGATTTTAAATGGTTTTGTTTGCAGTGAAGTAATGTGATGTGACTTTCATTCAGAAGGTAAACATTAATAGGATGACAATTCTTCATTTTGGCGGGGAAAGTGTTATAAAATAGATTCTCCTGGGAAAAATGTCAATGTTCACATACTTTCCAATGGTTAATGAATCCATTCTGACATTCAAAGTTAATTGATCTTAAGAGAATATTAAAGAGGGTATCATTCTTTGATGGTTTATGTGGTCTGATATGGCAAGCACAGATTTCATAATAATTGCCATTTGCCATTTTGGTGGTAAAATGGAATTTATTACATTTCTGTGCATTTTTCAATTTATTTATTGTGGAAATTTGAATCTCATATGAAGAGTTGCTATACCTTTAAATATTTAGAACCTGAAAATGGGATTATAGACTGAAATATTCTCCATGATTTGGGATAGCCTTGTATGCCTTGGTGATGAAGTGAAAATTGCTGAAATTTCCAAGTTAAGTGTATAAGGGTCTAATTACACACGTATACATTAAAGGTCTCTGGATTCAGCAACTTTCATGATATTTAGAAAACTTTTGCATCTGAAAGACTCACTTGGGATACTGGGATAGATGGTGATGGGAAATTAAAGGGGCCGCTTAGAATAGAAGATCCCAGTATCAACTTGTCCAAGGTTCAAATATGGCGGACCCTACATAACAGGAAGACCACTTAATCCTGTAATGGTCTCTCCGCCTCACACTCGCCTCCCCATGTGTCTGGTTGAATAGAGCCTAGATTTACTTACTATGCCCCTGCAGAGATGCCGTGTGGGGAGGCGTTTTAGAGGCGGAGAGACTATTACAGGATTAAGCAGCCTCCCTTTCATGTAGGGTCCGCCATGTTTGAGCCTTGGACTAGTTGATGCTCAGATCTTCTATTCTGAATGGCCCCATATATGGTGCTTAAAGAAAAGGTTTTGGATTACTAGTATATTAGTGAAAACAGCAGACTTTACTAGAAGGTGCAGTTGGACAGGTCCATATCTTGTAATATGTAATCTAGAACATCTTTTTAGTACTTGTTACAACTACTTGTCTACTGTATGGGACATGCAAGAGCGTAATTATATTGAGGTGCATTTGAGATACAATTTGCTCTGGTATGTCGCATACATTGGACGATGAGTAGTTGTAACCGACTTATACCATGGCTGGCACTTCGAACTATAGGATGAACAGGCCCATAGCCAGCAATTTCAAAAGGGGGGGTTCTTTTTCTTAAAAAGTGGACCTTTTCCCATAAAAATGTCAAGTACCCTGATCAAATTTTACGCAGAGTGGACCTTTTCCCAGCAAAAGGGGCAGTTCTTTCGAACCCCCTCAATTCCCCCTGGCTACGGGCCTGATGAATGTAGCAAAGGGTATATAAAAACACAGGCAAGCCTGTATGCGAAATACAAGTGCAGTAATCCTTTTTTAGACCGCCAACTGTGGTATAATTGAGATTAAACCTATCTTGGTGCAGGCAACAATTTTTAACAATGAATTAATTTTCATTTTCATATTGAATAAATTACAACATGTTGGTCATACACTGTAGATTTTCTTTCATTGAATGTTGTCTGAGGTAGGAAAAATGGTCTTGAAATTTTTCTATAATTTTACTCTCCTTCACAAAATTAGTTACTGTATTGTTACATGGTACAGTATTTAAAGCATTTTTATCTACATATTTTACTCTGATTATTTTTAAGATTTCCATTTTATATTTTAGCCCTTAACTATTCAAAACCAAGGTGTTTGCAAGCTGAAGAAATTCCCATGATTTTAAAGTTGCAAAGAGAAATTGAGACATGCTTGAACTTTCATCAGTTTTCTCCATTGGATTTTCTACATGAAGTAAATATTTATTATGTTACTTTATTTATTTATCATTTTATTATCCATTGTTTATGTCTATGCAATGTAACTTATTGTTGATGATAAGTGTACCATGGTGCAAGGAAGGTTGTTTTTAATAGTGTATCCTGGGAAAAAAAATCACCTTTTATTGCAGAATTTTTCAAACTGACATTAAATTTTGTAATATCCAATTTTAATTGCTAAGACATGATAGATATGAACTTCAATTAGCTTAATTTACAATAGATGCAAAATAATAATAAAAAAATGTGGCACTATATTGTATTTCAGTGATACATTTTACATTAATTATTTTTCTAAAAAAATATTTTAGGATGAAATAAAATACCTGAGGGAAAGCAAAGATCAGACCATACATGCCTGTCTTTCGGGGGAGCCACTAACTGCACTTCTCTGGAACAGAACTGTGATTGCCCTAGGGACAAGATTGTGTGATGCTCTTGATTATCAGGAGTTACTTATTGCATTAAAACTACACCATGCTCTGTTTTGTTTGTGCCATATTGAAAGAATCACAGAAGAAAGCCAGCTGCTTCAGGTAGTACAATTATAGACACAAAGGTCATTAAAAAAAACATGGAAATATATTTAATCTGATAGAGGTTTCATATAACTGTCTTTGCTCTACCTGAATACATGGTGTGTTTATAGGGCAATTATTGATGCTTCATTGACATGTGTACACAATTTGCCGATGATAGATATTCAGTTTCTATGATAATTTTTAATGTAATGTTTAACATTTATTTTAATAGGAGAAGGAGCTTTTCTTGGAGGAGGCCTGTAAACAATGTAAAGAAGGTAAGGAAAACAAATAACTTGAAGATAATTATTTCTTTCATTATTTTAATTTGTTTCATTGATTTTAATAAGTTCCAAAATAATTGCCATTTTGTAAATTTAGCAGCGCCGTAAATATCAAAAATGCAGATTATCCCGACAGGCTCTGTCAATTATGTACTAGTATTATTGGTATGCCTGACATATATTTATTTTCAGTCATTCAGATCATCACTAGATGGAAAACATCAAGTATAAATATGCAGGTCTATCTGTTTGATGCACATCATAAATTGGCTCAAATTATGCTCAGACTAAAGAAGTTTGACCAGGCATTAAAAGAAGTGAACGCTGCAATAGAAATGAACCAGTGTCAGGTAGGTTTTATGTTCACTATGAAAGAATGAGATGTAAACAGTGAGTAGAAACAGCAAGTTAATATGATACACTTTACAATAATAGCTAGCATCTAGAATTATTTATTATAATAAGAAACTGATTTGAAAGGTCAGGCTCATTTTCATTTCATGATGACAAAAATAGTTGTGACATGCCTTAATATAAACCTTCACAACACCTTTCAGCATTTTCAAATATTTCTAATTTAATTACTTGAATTGAAACCTTTGACTTACCTTCAGCGTAGGTGGTTGTACATGTTTTACATTAAAATGATAACAGTATTTATCAAGACAAATACAAGGGCGTATTCCCAGAGCTTTTAGATCGATCTATCCTCGCGGGGAGACTCACTAGATTTGATATTGCTGTCAGATAATCCGGCTTAAATGTCCGTCCTGCTTACTACAAGCTGTAAGGGGGTAATTAACTTTCGTGCTTGCTCGGCTGACAGCTATTTAGCGTGAACCCCCAGGAAGTTAGGTCGATCTAAAGTAGATCAATCTAATCTCTGGGAATGGGGTCTAAGTGCAGGTCTTTGCCACACTTTCATGTCTTAAATTTAATGTTTTCTTCTGAAATTTACTTTCTACTTTTATAACAGGAGACCTTAGCCTTAGATGCCATTTTTAACCTAAAATCAGAAATTGAGAAGAAAATGAAAAACATGGAGGCGAGGGAGAAACCGAAGAAACTGCAGGTATTATGTTGACAAGATTAAGAGAAAATTTTGTTTAATTTTAATACTTCATAAAATCAAATCAATAGAAAATTTACCTAACAGATTTTGAATGCATCAGTATTAATATTGTAATTGTATTTTCATTTCATTATTTCTTTTTAAATTAATAAATTAATTTTTGTTTATTTTTAAATTAATTAATTCATTATTTTTCCTCTATCATGCATTTGACCCACTTTCTGTAAATCTCAGCAAAAACTGGACATTTGCGTGCTAGTTGAATACATTGATTGCAAATTGATTGATTTCAAAATAACACTGGTTCAGCATTCAGCGAGCCTGCCTTATGTTTTTATGTTCTCCATAACTGAATTTTTATTGTTATTGTTGTTGTAACAGTTGTTATTTTCATCATTTTTGTATCTTGGATATTAATCTTCCAAACAGGTTAATTTAAGACAAACTCTTCCTGCGGATGAGAATGCAGAAGAAGCTTTAGGTTAGTTCTTGACATTAGAGCATTTTTCAGGAATGTTATAATCTAGAATCAGTCTGACACAGATCAGTGCATGATATGGGTTACAACTTATTAGAAATGTTACAACTCACAGAAATTTTAAAGTTTAAATTTAAATACTTTTGTTTTTATCTGTATGCTATAAAAATGACATATTTGCTATTTTTAAATACATTAAATATTCTGCAATAAGGCCACACTTTTTATGTACAGACACAGATGTGTCTGTACATATTGCCATCNCAATATTCTGAGGCGGTATCGCCTCTCTGATCCTCTAGTTGTTACATGGTACAGTATTTAAAGCATTTCTATCTACATTATTTTAAAGATTTCCATTTTATATTTTAGCCCTTAACTATTCAAAACCAAGGTGTTTGCAAGCTGAAGAAATTCCTATGATTTTAAAGTTGCAAAGAGAAATCGAGACAGGGTTGAACTTCCATCAGTTTTCTCCATTGGATTTTCTACATGAAGTAAATATTTATTATGTTACTTTATTTATTTATCATTTTATTATCCATTGTTTATGTCTATGCAATGTAACTTATTGTTGATGATAAGTGTACCATGGTGCAAGGAAGGTTGTTTTTAATAGTGTATCCTGGGAAAAAAAATCACCTTTTATTGCAGAATTTTTCAAACTTACATTAAATTTTGTAATATCCAATTTTAATTGCTAAGACATGATAGATATAAACTTCAATTAGCTTAATTTACAATAGATGCAAAATAATAATTAAAAAAATGTGGCACTATATTGTATTTCAGTGATACATTTTACATTAATTATTTTTCTAAAAAAACATTTTAGGATGAAATAAAATACTTGAAGGAAAGCAAAGATCAGACACTAGCTGCCTGTTGTTCGGGGGAGCCACTAACTGCACTGCTCTGGAACAGAACTGCGATTGCCCTAGGGACAAGATTGTGTGATGCTCTTGATTATCAGGAGTTACTTATTTCACTAAAACTACACCATGCTCTGTTTTGTTTGTGCCATATTGATAGCATCAAAGAAGAAAGCCAGCTGCTTCAGGTAGTACAATTATAGACACAAAGGTGCATTCATTAAAAAAAAAACGTGGACATTTATTTTATGCATATAGAGAGAGCTTTCGTATAACTGTCTTTGCTCACCTGAATACATGGTGTGTTTATAGGGCCATTTTTCATCCTGCTTGTGAACACAATTTGCTGATGATAGATATTCAGTTTTTGTGATAATTTTTAATTAATGTTTCACAGTTATTTTAATAGGAGAAGGAGCTTTTCTTGGAGGAGGCCTGTAAACATTGTAAAGAAGGTAAGGAATTGATTTTAATAAGTTACAAAATAATTGCCATTTTGTAAATTTAGCAGTACCGTAAATATCAATAATTCAGATTATCCTGGCAGGCTCTGCCAATTATGTACTAGTATTACTGGTATGTCTGACATATATTTATTTTCAGTCATTCAGATCATCACTAGATGGAAAACACCAAGTATAAATATGCAGGTCTATCTGTTTGATGCACATCATAAATTGGCTCAAATTATGCTCAGACTAAAGAAGTTTGACCAGGCATTAAAAGAAGTGAACGCTGCAATAGAAATGAACCAGTGTCAGGTAGGTTTTATGTTCACTATGAAAGAATGAGATGTAAACAGTGAGTAGAAACAGCAAGTTAATATGATACACTTTACAATAATAGCTAGCATCTAGAATTATTTATTATAATAAGAAACTGATTTGAAAGGTAAGGCTCATTTTCATTTCATGATGACAAAAATAGTTGTGACATGCGTTAATATAAACCTTCACAACACCTTTCAGCATTTTCAAATATTTCTATTTTGATAACTTGAATTGAAACCTTTGACTTACCTTTAGCTTAGGTGGTTGTACATGTTTTGCATTATAATGATAACAGTATTTATCAAGACAAATATAAGGGTGTATTCCCAGAGCTTTTAGATCGATCTATCCTCATGGGGAGTCTCACTAGAGGCTTAAATGTCCGTCCCCCCTACTACAAGCTGTAAGGGGGTAATCAACTATCGTGCCCGCTCGACTGACAGCTATTAAGTGTGAACCCCCAGGGAGTTAGGTCGATCTAAAGTAGATCAATCTAATCTCTGGGAATGGGGTCTAAGTGCAGGTCTTTGCCACATTTTCCATGTATTAAATTTAATGTGTTCTTCTGAAATTTACTTTCTACTTTTATAACAGGAGACCTTAGCCTTAGATGCCATTTTTAACCTAAAATTAGAAATTGAGAAGAAAATGAAAAACATGGAGGCGGGGGAGAAACCAAAGAAGCTGCAGGTATTATGTTGACAAGATTAAGAGAAAATTTTGTTTAATTTTAACACTTCATAAAATCAAATCAATAGAAAATTTACCTAACAGATTTTGAATTCATCAGTATTAATATTGTTATTGTATTTTCATTTCATTATTTCTTTTTTAATTATTAAATTAATTTTTGTTTATTTGTTCATTTTTAAATTAATTAATTAAATTTTTTTCCTGTATCATGCATTTGACCTACTTTCTGTAAATCTGAGCAAAAACTGTACATTTGCGTGCTAGTTGAATACATTGATTGCAAATTGATTGATTTCAAAATAACACTGGTTCAGCATTCAGCGAGCCTGCCTTATGTTTTTTTTATGTTCTCCATAACCGTTTTGTAATTATTATTGTTATTGTTGTTGTAACAGTTGTTATTTTCATCATTTTTGTATCTCAGATATTAATCTTTCAAACAGGTTAATTTAAGACAAACTCTTCCTGCAGATGAGAAAGCAGAAAAAGCTTTAGGTTAGTTCCTGGCATTAGAGCATTTTTCAGGAATGTTATAATTTAGAATCAGTCTGATGCAGATCAGTGCATGATATGGGTTACACATATTAGAAATGTTACAACTTACAGAAAGTTTCAAGTTTAAATTTAAATATTTTTGTTTTTATTTGTATGCTATAAAACTGACATATTTGCTATTTTTAAATACATTAAATATTCTGCAATAAAAGTAATTCTTGTTGAATTTATTTATTTAGTTTAAATTATTTATTTGTTTTATTCATTCACCAACTCATTAATTTATCAATATATTTGTCTTTTGTAGCATCAAGAGAAACAGAATGTCTACAGCAGTCGATAAAGGCTGAGGATAAGATCAGAGAGACCCCCAGCAAAGCAGGATGTTTTACGTGTGATGTGTGTAATGTCATTTGTAATGGGCAGCAACAGTACCACCAACATTGCAGTGGCTCTAAACACCAGCAAAAGCTACTGCAGAGACAGAAAGATTTGGACACTGGATCTGTTAAACGGGAACCTCAAACATTTGATCAAAATAAAACAAATCAGACTAATGTAGGGTGAGTGTTCAGATGGAAATTTATTTATGATTTATTCTGTATTTATTTATTTATTGTTGCTTTTGCTGTATCTTTAAGTTGTGCTTTTTTAGGATTTGTTTGTTTAGGACATGTAAATAATAGATGAAAATAGAATTTTGGAAGAAAATATCCAAGGTTGCATAGAAAAATGTTTACCACATTGTTGATAACTATTCTCTTGTACAACATTAAACTTTTCTCACCCATTCCAAATTTTTTCAGTAATTATTTTCACTACAGTGTCTGGCTCCAAGTTTTAGATTTGAATTCAGTAATTGCCACCTTTCCCTTCACTTGTATTTCAATATTTTTTCACAATGAAAATGGCATAGTTTCAGTTGAAAGTAACTCTTTGCTATAAGTTCCATTTATCTTGACTGATCATTTGATATTTTTTCTTCCTTTTTAAAGTACACAGGCTTAAATGAATACAATTCAAAGCTTGTTGAAAAACATACCAACAGGAATTCAGGAAAAAAAAACAATCCAGTTTTTAGAATGCGAAAAAGGTTCATGATGTTTTGATTTTTATTTTCATTGCAGGACAGAAATAGTAGGAAGACTAAGAGTAGATGAACCAAATGATGCAGAAGGACAAAACCCCATAAAAACGATGGTGGTGAGAAAAATATATATTTTTTTTTTTTAGATTTAGATAATTTCAAATCAGATACAATTGGCCCTTCTTAATTGGGCACAGGGGATATGGCATCTTAGGCTCCGTTCATATAAAAAATCTATTTTCTAAAAATCTAAAAATCTGTATATGTGGTATCTTGTGATCATGGTCTGTGCCCTGAATACCCCACAGCGTAATTACGGGCAACAAGAGCCAGTTACTTCCAAAGTTGTAATTAATTCTCGGCGCTGCCAGTAATTACACAGAGGGGTATTCAGGGCACAAACTATGATCACAAGATACCGCAAATAGATTTTTAGATTTTTAGAAAATAGATTTTTCATGTGAATGGTCCCTTAGTGTCCTTGCTTGTAGTGTAGTTAATCAACACTGTATGTTGTTTTGTAAAGCTATTTGAATTATAAATTAGTCATGTCTTGTAAGGTTATAATTTGATTTTTCCACAAGGGTCACTTGAAAAGAGAACATTCAACTTTACAAGGTCCAGAGCAAGGTAAGACTTCATACATTGTCATGTGGAAATGCTTTTTTAAAATATCTTGCTGTGACTGCATGAACGTTCACACATGAAATAAGCTAGGGCATGCATGAATGCTTTGAGATTTGTTGATGATAAATGATTGTCTATATGCTGCTAGCTACTATGTGTTGTTGGGTGCATTACTGAAAAAGTATCTTTCATATTCAGTATAATTAGACAAATTATAATGAATGTTTTTAAGTTTCCATGTTTTGTTATTGAAGAAAGCAAATAAAGCTTGATAATTCACAACCACAGAACTTTGCCTTTATCAGCATGTTCCCGGTATTTTGATTATATATTAGCTGATTAATTTAGTAATTTATTATAGGAATGACCAGCCCTGCAGATGCATCATCTGTCTCAGGGAATTCCATTCAAAGCCTGGCAGCCCAAATAAGCACTGCTTTAGGCGCTCCCTACAGGGCAATGGTGGGTTGCAGTAAATGCACTGAAAAAGTTGAAAATGAAGAGAAATTCTCTCTGAGAGTTGGCACAACTTCACATTTGTGTACAAGGAACATGCTGCTTGTACAAAACCAGAACAAGCCCTTATCCCATTGGGTGGAAATTCGGTTACGAACAAGTCACAAGTCCTTTGCTGGTAACTATGTGATGTGTGGAGCAGTGATTGCAAATGGCAAATGTTGCCATGGAGACAGTTGCACCTTTGCCAGATCGGAGGAAGAAAGAAATTTGTGGAACCTAGAGAAAAAAGAACAGTTTAGCATCTTATCTTTTTTTGAAAGGCTCAAAGGTTTTTCTGCACCAGAGGAAAAGGGACCAGCTGTTGCAGCCTCAGCTTCTCAATTGTCAATTTCTTCAATTTTAATAAAGCATGGCGGACAATTCAAAGTTGTGTGCAGAGACTGCTTTCAACGAAAACCACCGGTCATAAGCAAGAAAAGACCTGGACGCTCTATTTGTGAAGATCCAAAGTGTCATGAGTGGGTAATGGGATCAAATGTACTTATTCATCAGAAAAAGGTAGGAGGGGAAATGGAAACATTGGTAATAAACCCCAAGCCAACAATACCTGGAGACTTTGCATTGTGTAAGAAGGGAAAATTGTGTGTAGATGAAACCTGTAAAACAAAGCTAGCCCATTCTGTGGTTGAACAAGATGTCTGGCAGTATGAAGACAAGATGGGAATAGATAGGAAGCAACTTCAGGCAGAAGTAACATCCAAAAGACAGGCTGGAATTCAAAGAAAGAGAATGGCTTCTTTGCCAGAAACAATCCCCGATTCCGTAGAGCAAACACTTAAAAGAACAGATTCTATGTCTTCCATCACTTCTTGCTTTTCTACTGATGAGCAATTGCGCAACATTAATTGCCCTTATGATCTCAGTTGGTGTTGCAGGAAATGTTTTGAAGAAGGACGGGTAGCTGGTCCAAACAGAACCGAATCAAAATGCAGTGCTTCAAGACATCCTTGGTCCTCAAATACCAAAATATGTGTGTATAATAGCCGTGGTAGAAAGGCATTTGAAATAAGAGACTGTCCATCTATACCAAATGACACATTTAAATTATGTCGCGGAATTGAGCAGAAAGGGAAGTGTTCTTATTGGGGTGGTCCATGTAGATTCCCCCACAGTTTGGAGGAGAAGGAGATTTGGGAGTGGCAAAAGAAAAATAATGGTATGTATTTGTAAAATTTCAAATTCCTATTAAAATGATAATTTAATAAGATACTGAAAATGAAAGTGGTAGATGGAAACTGTCTTCCGGAAGACAGCCTGAATGTCATTTTCAAGTTTACTAATTTTTTCTTTTGGAAGATGGACAAAAATGGAGGTGGGATCAACAAAGATAATTTGGAGGACTGTCAGAAAATATCTCATGATCTGCCCCTGAATGAACATTTTGAGAGTTCAATTCTCTCATCTCAAACAAGCTGGTTAAAGTGACAGTCTATATTGTGGTTATAATTATCAGAAGTCAATTGTAATACTCCAAAGTAGCAATGATAATATGATATACAATATACAGTAAAAATTAGTTGGGTTATTAGCTAAATTTCAGCTTACTCTGAATAAAGCTTGTTAGGTTAAAATTCACTAAGGTTTAATTATTTATGATTGTTAAAGAAGTTTGATTCCTAGATTACATAAAAAGTTGAAGCATTGTTGTCCCCCAAAATAGTTGTAGTTTGATAACAGCATTGCCTCCTTATGGGTGACATTGGTTAACATTGATAACCTCAAATTTGCTGAAATAATCCAGTTAAATAATGAAAATAATATGCATGTTTTAGTGGCCACACAGGAGGAATTGGTGATGGTGTCACAAAGGAATCGGACAACTAGAAAATCAAGCAAAGATTCTTCGACATCCCATGTACTTCAGTGGGGTACGAATACAATTGGAAAGCAGGTCTTTTGCGAGATTTGCTGTGTGACATGTAATAGCCACGCCCAGTATCAGAAACACTGTGCCTCTGACAAGCATAAGGCAAATTTAGATTCTACAGTGGACCTGGATGCATCTTACAAACATAGGAAACCACCATTAGGAGTGTATAATGGCAAATTTGAGCTGTGTGAAAAGTAAGAACAAAAGTGAAGTTGCAGTGATACAACAGAAATTGAAAATTTCACACTTATTTCAGTATCTTATAATTCCAAGACCCACTATGATAATTTACTGGCATGGCTTATAAACCATATGAACAATTCAGTTTACTTGTCCAAATGTTTAAATCTTAGTTTCCAAATGTAATTTTGCCTGATCAGTAATTTCTTTTATTTAACATAAGCATAAGAATTACTCATGAAATACTCGTACTCAAAGAATTTTCCGAATTTTTTTTCAACTTAGTATCCTCTGATCCTTTTTTCCCTGACATTTGTTACATGTATAAGTGTCACTATAACCTTGTAACAATCTGGGAAAAAAGGACCTTAACTCACACTTATCATAGTCTACCATTACTTCAAACACTGACTTCTGGTTTGTGCAAGATTGAAAACTGTGCAAAAATGTTAATCATGCAGCAAAGTTCATCTGCAGGTCATTAAGACAGCATTAAATAAACCACATGGCATTTATCTGTTAATGATTATCAAATAGCAGGCCCGTAGGCAGGGGGGTTCGGGGGGGGGGGGTTCGAAAGAACTGCCCTTTATGGTGGGAAAAGGTCCACTCTGGGTAAAATTAGATCTAGGTTCATGAAGTTTTTATGAAAAAAGGTCCACTTTTTCAGAAAAAGAACCCCCCTTTTGAAATTGCTGGCTACGGACCTGAATAGTGTCATTTTTATTTAAAGAATTTCAACTAAAAGTACTTTAAAGTGAAAAATGTTAGAAACCTTATGCTGTGTGATTTACATAGCGCTTATCTTTACTGTTTTAGACAAGTATGAGATATGTTTGATGTGTATAATATGTGTTACACATGTACATATTTTAGCCCTGGTGCGTGTGATTTGGGCAACTACTGCCCACAGGCTCACAGTGAGGAGGAACTCCAGGAGTGGAAGATGAGGCATGATGAGAAGAAAAGACGAATGAAAATCAACAGAGATAAAAAACAACTTGACTATGTGAACAGATTAATGGAAGAATACAAAGACTTTGGAGGGGCAGTGGTATGTACTGTGTAATGTGTAGTTCAAAGGGTAGCATGCAGTTTAGTGCAGACACAGTATAATACGACTCTTAACTGAAAGGTGACCTCCCATCTTAGGTCTTTTTCACATAGACTAGGTTCCCATACACTTATTGTATTAGCAGGGTCGATCTAACACCAAGGGGATTCTTGCTAAATTATATTCAGTCTAAGCGGCTTAAATGTCTGTCATGCCTACTGAAGCTGCTAAGGAAGTAATTAACTTTTGTGCAGACTTAAACTGAATACGATTTAGTGAAAGTCCCCTCAGAGATAGTTTGATCCTGCTAGTACAATAGGATTATGGGAATGTTCCCATAGAGTGGTACAGTTCTGTGTATCACTGTAGGCTAACTAGCACAGACATTTAATATTTGTCTGTCACACCTACTGAAGCTGTTAGGGGGTCATTTATTATGGTTTAGCAGCTTTAGTAGGCATGCCAGACATCTAAGCTGCTTAAGCTGAAAGCAATTTAGCGTGAAACCCCTTGGACATGGACCAATCCTGTTAGATAGATCTAGGTATGGGAACTCAGTCACAGTGCTCAGTGTGAAAAGTGCCTACAGCCATCATATCATTTAACTCCTCTTCATTTTATGTTAAATTGTATCATGAATATCCTGGTTATTTTAAACAGTTTCAAATTAATTTATTATGTTAACACAAAAACTTCCCAGGAAAGGTAGATTCCACAATTTTGTAACAAAGGATATCATTTAAAGAGAACATTATATTTAATTAATTCAGCAAATTATTTGGGATAATGTGAATAATGAAGAAAATGACGTTAATTTGACAATTTGGCCAAAGTAATGATCACTGGTTTGATGAATATTTTACAGCTCAAGGATCACCTTGAAGATGTTGATGTGGAGGTGAATGGGGTTGCATGTCCAGCGGGAATAGTGAAAGAAGAATTTACTGATGGAAGATTGGATTATGAATGGCAGTTTGATGTCACAGCTAAGGTAATACAGAATGTGTTTCAGGGTTCAGAATTCAATGTTCAGGTAGTTTCTTCAAAATTAGGAAAACACCGTTTTTTTTCAATAATTAATTTATCACAGGTAAAGAAGAAGCATCATAAAATCTCTATATTTTGTCTTATATTTTGTTTTGTTTTTCTCCTAAATTGTTTGCTTACATTTTCTATACTTGATTACATGAAATTAAACAGTATAAAATGAATTCTTTTTTTGGTGACTTTTTATTTATAGAAATTAATCTTTAAATGCCTTCTTCTGGTGTGCTCTAAAAAGAGGTAACTGTATATATCTTATATCTTTCTAGGTGAATTTAAAGAAGATCTCCTTGCTTTTGCATACTGGCAGAGTGAATTTTTGCCTGAGAAGCAGCAACAAAGACTTTGCAGATGGAGAGGAATTCTGCACAGATGTGGCGAAAAACAAATATTCCATCCCAGTTTTGTTCCATTCTCATGTACCAGTCGGTTCTTTTGAGCAGTGGCTGATACTGGACTTTGGAGAGAAACCCCATCTGCAAATCAAACTTTTGGTGGACCTGGCCCAGGAGAATGAGATGAAAGAGCTACAAAGTGCAAGGCAACAAATTATGACAGATGAAATGTTTAGAAATGTTGAACTGGAGCCGTTTCCCAAATGTAAACTGACATCTGGGTTGATAACAGAGTTTTTAAATCGTCAAAAGCGACTGCAAACAAATCCTGCTGTCAAAGTGCAGTCCTTAACAGCTGTTGATGAATATACCACTCACTTAAACCAACACAATTACAAGCATTGCCTGAAACGTTGGCTAGATTTGGAAGAACTGGAGATGGAAAAACTTCTACAAAGGTGACATAATTTAAATTGTTCAGCTGCATAAACAAAATATTAAATTTCTTAAAAATTTTGTTTTGACATGCATAAAATGTTCTATATGAACCACCTCTAGGATAACTTAACATTTTTGTAGCT